CCTGTTATATGTTAACAACTAAATGAATAATAACATCTTTCCTATCATAATTTATCATATAGCTGTTATTTAGATAACGTTATTATCACAATAGATTACCCAATCAATTAATTATAATAACAGACAAATGTTTTTGTTTGAACAATGAAGTAACCGATAATTCGATTAATAACAATCAAACAGTTATTAGTGTCTTATTAACACTCTGAGTACAATAAATGCGTTCCGCCTTCGCTTCTAACTTGGCCAACCTTAGATTTGGAATAAAAAAGCCGGCCAGCAATCTGTTTTTATCTATAAGTCTGGGCTCAGCTTGTAACGACAGACATAGAGTATGTTGTAACATAAAATATTATGGCCGCGTAAACACGGACACTAGTAAATCGCCGCTCTATGGTTTAACCAAGGTTCTTTTGATATATATGTCGGCTTGAGCTAGCACGATATCAGAATTACTACTACTCAGTAAAGTCGAATTCCAGGAATACATTCACAATGCTCCTCAGTCAGGATATCATCGATCTACCAAGCTCATAACGTTCAAAACAATGTTCCCGCAATGATCCCTATTTTCAGAATAAACTAAGTTCTCACGAAAGTCGCTTGGCGGCGCTCGTGTTCTAATTATCACTTAAATACAAATTGATTTCTTCTTCTGATTGCGACATATATAAATTAAATACGCAAATATATCTTAAATATACACGGGAAATAAATGATATTAATCATGTTGTCAGAAAATCGCAAGTGGATGATAAGTTTTTTTTTGACGGCTTCTTGCCGCCCTCTTGTTCCCCTAACACATTTTAAGTCAGGGACCTGGGGAGCGGGTGTATCTTTATTTCTTCATTTTTAAGTTAAAACATAGATTTACATTAAAATCTTCTTTCCATCTATCATAGTTTGACATAAACTGTGATAGATATCTAAGCCCAATTTAAAAACAAATTTAATTAACAATATAGACTTAAAAAAATTTTGACTGCAATTAAAAAAAAAACAATTAAAAACAACATACAATAAAATTTAAATGTAAATTCAATTAAAACAATAATTTAAAAAGTAAACTTAAATAAATAAGTTACGAGTATAACAATGAATACACCCTGTTCCTCTCGATGACTATGAGGGCCGCCTTTTTGCAAAATTTCAAAAACCTCTGTCTTGTGTCCTTATTTCCTATCAGTTCCTCAAATTCTCTACTTTAATCTTCTCTTTCATATCTATTTCAGTGTCAGCCTTCTTAGCACCAAACAACAGGCACTCTACAATGATGTTTTATCATAGAATATTTTTACTAGTAATTTAACTATAATAGCACTAGGAATTGACATGAATTGCCCTTTTACAGTATTTCAGTCCTAATTTTAGTCCCTTTCCCTTTCCATCCTTATCTTAAAAAGTATGGATGGAAAGAAAAAGTGGATTTGACGGTGGAGGAGACGCTTAGGAAGGGGAAATGTCCCCTTTTATGTGCGTCTCCTCCTCCGTCAATTAACGCATCTGCAATCGCGGATGTCTATGGGCAGCGGTCGCTCTCCATTTCGATGGATTTAGGTGACCGCTTGCTCGTTTGCCACCTTATATTATAAAAAAAATCAATTTTATTTTCGAATTTAGGTTTTTAATTAAAGCTACTCTCAACTAAAATTTAGTGTATTTAATTAGAAAACAAATCGCTAAATATTCAAAATTCCATTTGTTTTAAAAGATATTGTTTTCTCTATTAATTAAAGAATTTGCAAAGTTCAATGTTTTTTAAATCACAAGTATTTATAATTAGACACACAGATATCAAAATGTAGAAACGCCAAATCGTATGAATTACGCCCGATTCGTAATAATTTTCATGACACGGAACGAGCGTAATGCGTGCCATTCGTCAGATTGGATTTATATATTACTTCTACGTTTTTTTCTTCAGATCGTGTTTAACGCTAACACTTGACATGTTTTATAGTTTGGTTCATCTAATTATTTGTACAAAGGTTATAATTTAATGTTCATAATGTCTAGATTTATAGTAAAACTAGTTGTTCTCGTGCGGCTTCATCCGCATGAATTTATGAAAATTTTATTTCATTGTTTAAATTTGTCAAATCAATAATTGCAAAAGTCGAAATGACATGACTTGATGACCAACCATTGCAATCTTTCTTTCTTGATGTTGGCAACAACTTATGGTCTTTTTCCCATATTAGGCTTTTTTCCAAAATATTTACCCCCTAAGTTTAATAGCGTGAAAATATATAGCTTAAAGCATGACGTAAGTGTATGGCTTTTTTTTTAAAAAAAAGATTTATTCAAAAATATGCTGTAATTGCTGACATCTTAGACAACAAAGAAGTGTGTGTTTACGCATTATTATAATATATAGATTACATTTATGGGAATTTTTATTTGATCAATGTCATTAATCGCGTATTTTTTTATAGATTGGTTGTCTATATTAATGCAATAAATAAGAAAGATTATTTCACCAATAAAAGTTATTATCAGTGTATTAGGATATAATTTATAAATTCACCCGGACGAAGTCGCGGGCAACAGCTTATTGAATAATAAAGGTAAAAAATATTGTAGGATACAAACTTTCTTCTCCATTCTTGAATCGAGATCTT